GGAGGTTGTCATCAGTGAGGGTGGTCGGGAGGCTGCCGGAAGGCTGTGCTGCCTTTGAGCTCATCTTAGATTGCTGTAGCCTTGACCTGTATCCTCTACCAGATGTATCTACTTATCCTTACAGTCTGCATACCCTTGTTGCCTAGACTAAGTGAAGGAATTTAACCTGAGAAGAGCTCAGGCAGATGGCTGTTCAACCCCAAGCCTTTCTAATTAGTTCTTAGCTTCCAATTAGTTCTTAGCATCTTTTCCCTCCTTGTGAGGTGAATGTAGTTGTCTCTACCAATTACAGAAAGTGGAGCCTACACTTTCAACAGATTCACACCTCCTATGACTACAAAATCCCAGTGTCAAATGTTCTCGTAGTCCTTTGTGATGATATTCAACAAATGATGCAGAATCTGATTGGCTTGCCTTTCTTTTGTCATTAATGTTAAGTCCATCTCTCACTCTTAACAAAATGACTGTCTATAGTTATGTTTTAATATTCTTGATAGGTTTTAAGGGATTGTGCTTTAATCTTAGTCAAATCCTGCAAGTTTTGATCAGTTATGTATACAAGGGATTTATTTTTCTCAACTTTGGAACTAGGGGAAGTGCTTTATGGTAAAGTAGACTGATTTCTGAGTGTGGTGGCCAGTTTGCCTCCCTTGAAATCTATACCCAGTATTCTGTTTGCAGATGCATTTGTTTATTTTGCTTGGAAATGCAGACTTTGAGTAGATAGGTCTTATGCTTTCTATTCATAACTATCTTTTTGCTATTAGAATTGCTGGGTCAGTATAATGGTACTGAAAGATCGTTATATTATGAATTCCACCCCATTGAACAGGATAACCCACCAACACCACCTTCAGGTTCAGTTGGGTCTACTAACCAAAGATCATCATAGCTGGCCTTGTTGACTGTTTATGTACCCTTTGGGGATGAGGGAACGGAAAGGGTCATGGACCCTCATCTGATTATCCAGCCAGTCCTCTCAACCATTTGTATGCAATTCTGCTCTGATTTGCACATGGCCTCTGGACCTCTGGGCCTCTAGAAAGGGCTGTAGGTTACAGGCAGGGAAGAATTAAAGTGAGGGAACTCTTATGTACACAGCCATGGGGGCATCATGTATCCTGGGCGCAGAGCATCGAGAGTGGCTGCTTGAACTCACCCACCACCTGCCTGTAACTAATCACCCACTGCTCTCCAAGTAAGCCTGGTAAGCTCATTGGTTCCCCCAGGGAGAACTTTGGTGGAATCAAGCTTTGGTTTGTCACTGGGACTGTAGGAAGAAAGGGCAGACGTTCTTTATGTCTTCCAGGGAAGGAATTTTAGCAACACACTGGGAAAAGATATTAGGATAAGACCAGCCTAGAAAATAAGGTAAAGAGATCAAGCCAGTTGGAATGTCCAGTTTTATAGCTTTTCATACATTCTGTGGATACTTTTCTAATATGTTAGCCACTGAGCTAGGTGCTAGAGATAATAGAAGTTAAAATTAAGTCCCTTCTTTCCTTTAACTTGGAGGCCAAGATAGAACCGTACACAGAACTGAATGGCGGAATAATTTGGGATATCTGCTACTGAAAAAGACTCAACGGAATGGGTCTTTCCAACCACAGTTTCAAAGAGCTGGTTGCTTGGTTCTATTTTATGACTCACTATCTCCCCTCTGAGTGTCATATTGCCTTTGGAGGAGCTTGGCTGAAAAGAGAAATGTAAACCCCTGAAGACATCACCACAGGCAAGCATCACTTTGGGAGTCTGGTAGACTGCATATTTCTTGGCATTCCTAGCCCTAGTAGCCAGTGTCTTAGTTACACAATACCAACCTTGTGTTATCCACCGGCTTTTTGTAGCAAGACCAGCTGTGAGTGCACCTGCAGTTCATGTTCTACCATTGGATTAGTGCTAGAGATCTGCTTTGTCCTGTTCACAGTAGCTTCACAAGTGCCTAAGAATGTGCGTAACAACTTCACAACACCGAAGAAAGAACTGAAGAGTGCAGAAGTCCCAAAGCCCTTCCAGGCTCATGGAAAGAATAGCCTGCTAAATCGCTCCAGTACCAAAGATGACTTGTGGATTCTGTACAATCTCCATCTGAATCCCACATTTTTCATGGAAATTTTTAAAAATCCTAAAACTCATGTAGAAGCAAAGAAGAGTCCAAGTAGTCAACACAATCATGAGCAAAAAGAACAGTGCTGGGTTTTAGTGATACCTGGTTTCAAGTTTTACTATAGAGCTGTAAGTAGCAAAACAGCATGTCACTAGCACAGATAGGCAGAGACTGGAGGGATACAATGGGGGGCCCAGAGACAGTCACACAACTACAACCACTAGAGTCTGCTGTGGATATCGCTCTGTATGCTGTGAATGTGTTGCTCTGATTGGTTAATAAATAAAGTGCTGATTGGCCAGTAGCCAGGCAGGAAGTATAGGCGGGACAAGCAGAGAGAAGAATTCTGGGAACAGGAAGGTTGAGTGAGGAGACACTGCCAGCTGCCACCATGAGAAGCAAGATGTAAAGATACCAGTAAGCCACAAGCCATGTGGCAAGGTGTAGATTTATAGAAATGGGTTAATGTAAGATGTAAGATTTAGTTAGCAAGAAGCCTGAGCCATTAGGCCATACAGTTTTAATTAATATATGCCTCTGTGTTTTATTTGGGTCTGAGTGGCTGTGGGCCCAGGCGGGACTGGAGAAAACTCCAGCTACAAGAGTTTGACAAAGTAGCCAAAAACATACATTGTAGAAAAGATAAATACAAATAATATATGTGATATGAAAATAGAAATTAGACTGTTTTGGGGAAAGACAGGGGCTAATGAGGGAAGAGTGTAAGGGGTGACCATGGTCATATACGTGTGATATACTTGAATGAAAATGTCTTAATGAAACTCACTATGTACAATAAATATGAAAAATTTTAAATGCCAATGCAAACTGTTAAAACAATAGAAAATAAGGCTTTAGGCAGAATCACTTGGATTAATGTTTATAGGAAAAATTTTAAATGGAAATCTCCATTGTGTTTAAGCTCACAACAGCTAACAAGCACAGGTGCCTGGGTTATTTTTAGGACTGAAGAATCCACAGCCTCTACTAGCACAGTGTGTCTAGTTCCTTTATGCTTATCCAGCCACCATCTCTCAGTGCAAGTCAAACTACTGTTGTTGCCCTGGCCCTGGTGTGTACATGTCACAGCAGCTGTTGAATTCCTGGACGCCAATTGCAGGGTTTTCTATTGGGAGAAACAGTGCTGTGCCTTCAATAGCTGTCCTGACTAGAGGGAACATTTTGGGGGCAGGCAGTCTAGAGCAGACATTTTCTCCTCACCATGCCCCATCCCATTAGCAAATTAGGCTTCTCCCCTGGCTGATCCCACGTGAGCTGTCATCAGCTCACACTTTTAAACAGAGCCTGGCTGTCCACACACGCGGCTCTCTTCAGCTCAGGTTTTTGTAGTTCCTGACGCCTGTCTTCACTCAGCTGTTTTGCCATCTGACCAGGGACGTCTCATTAACAGGTCCCCATCGCTCTACGCAGGTCTCGAAGCGCAGCTCTCGTGACTGTCTCTCGATTGCTTGCAAGCTTGCCTCCTTCTCAGCAGTGACCCCCAGGCTGGCTGAGGGGATCCTGGACTGCTCGCCCCTCAACCTTCCTGTGGTGCTCCAGTTCCTGGCAGGAAGAAAATCCTGGAGGCCGCCATCCCAGACGATGGCAACACTTTTGCACTTGGCGATTTGTAGACTGTTCATTTGACCCTTTGTTTCTAGCTTACTTTATCATCTTTAAACATCTTGCGAAACTCTAGGTCTGCTTGTAATTTAAACCCACGTCCGTGCTCTCTCTAAGCTTACCGAGCATTAACGGAACTAGGTCATAAACTGCTGTTTGTGTCAGCCCAGGTCTGTATGCACTGAAACATACAGTGTGGGTATTTAACAGAGATGCTCACTGGAGGGTGGATAACAGGAACCAAGATGTGTTTTTGTAGACTCTGACCTCTTCATGATGGATAGACTCTAAGCCTGTTTATAAGAACGACCCAGAAACTTTAAAAACACCCACTGACACCTGCTGCATCCTTTGCATGGCTTCAGGGACTTGGACCTGACTGGAGTTGTGAGGGAATGAAGAAATGACAGGCACACGGAAAGCTGGGATCAGCTGGAGAACAACCAGAGCAGCCTAGACGCTCACAGTGCTTACCATACTGAGTTAACGGAGAGGCTGGGTTATTACGTGCAGATAAACAAGGAGCAGGGTTGATGATACACAGCTGGATCAAGGAGGCAGATGTAGTTAATTCAGCAGGAGCCATCTCTGTAAGGGAGCAGGATGCAGGTGGTAAATATCCCGGGGAAGAACGCACAGGCTGTCAACACTCGCACTCAGTTCCGACGAAGGCGTTGACATCCCTCAGCCCCAGCCAGTAGGCTCCGTGATGTAGCTGTGTCTATGTGAACAACACTTTCCCTCAGGACTTCATTACTCAAGCAGAGTCCCTACCAGCTTCTACTGAGCAGCATATTTACAAAATTTCAAAAATTTAAAATAATTCCACTCAAGCCATTTTGCATTTCTTTTCTTTTCGGTTCTGGAAAAATAGTTGTGTTAGTTTGAATGTAATTGGCCCCTATAAGTTAATAGGGAGGTGGTGCATTTTTGGAGTAGGTGTGGCCTTGTTGGAGGAAGTATGTCCCTGTGGGGGTGAGCTTTGAGGTTTCCAATGCTCAAGATACTACCCATTGTATGAGGCCACTTCCTGTTGCCTTTTGATCAAGATGTAGCCAGCACCATGTCTGCCTGCACGCCACCATACTCCCCAACATGATAATGGACTAAACCTCTGAACCGTAAGTGAGCCACCACAGCTAAATGTATTCCTTTATAAGAGTTGCTGAGGTCATGGTGTCTCTTCACAGCAATAGAAACCCTAACTAAGACACTAGTTTTCATCAAAATATTTATATAAACATGTTGCTGGTTTCTCTTATCAGTATAACTAAATCTTTAAATATTTTCTCAGATTAATTTTAAATATAGTAAATATTGATTAAAAATAGCTCATCCAAACTCTTTGGGTACCTTGGCAATTTTTGTGAGCTGGGGGGATGGCTCAGTTCTCAAATTACTAGTCACATAAGCATGAGGAGCCACCTGTGTTTGGGTCCCTGGCACCCAGGTAAACAGATGAGCTAGTCCACACTTGTAATTTCAGCCTAAGTAGCAAAGACAGATGGATTGATGGAGCTTTCTGGCCAGCCAACTAGCCAATCAGTGAGTGACTGTGTCTCAAGAACTAGAAAAGTGATTAAGGAAGATACCCAACACCCCCCGCCCCGGTCTGGCCTTCATGTGTACTGCCCCCACCCCACATTTTTTTAAGTGGAAAAGTGTCTGGAGACTAAGACTCTGAGAACAACTGGTCTCCTATTTGGCTACTTGAACTGAAAGGTTGGGTAACCTTGGTGTTAAAGACACCCACAAATTTTTGAAATTTTGAAAGCAAGACACATAGCCAGAGAGGAGGAAGACATATACAGCAAAAGCTAAACAGCCATTGGCTCTTGAGATATGATATTAATGAGACATAGTTATTAGTTTATATTTTTATATATAATTATATTAATTAGAATATTATAATTATACCATTATATATCATATATATGATATTTAACATATCATATACATCACAATATATAACATGTTATATAATTATGTATGTTATATATAATTTAACATATAAATATATTAATTAAATATTAATGAAGTATAGTTATGACTCCTTGCTTTTGGGATCTTTGAGGTAATACTAAAAGTGTTTTATTTAAGAAAAAAGTAACCAAAATGAAAAATTTAGTCACAGTGAGACTGAGCAGGATAATTCGGAAGTCTGGAAACCTCTATGAAAGGCTGGGCTTGTATATGCCGTGAAACTGCTTAACAAGGCTACAGGTCTGGGCAGCTCAGCAAAGGGATCTCTAGCCTTGTTTTCTGTGGTCGTTTTCATTATCCTGGTTGTTTTATTGACACAGCGTTTGCAGAACCTGGACTTCCTCTTGCATCAATATTTAATCTGGGCCAGCACCCCTCTGGGATTTAGTTTCCCCACTTTTATAAAATGGGCGTCAGAAGGCTTTCCAGGTCTTTGCTTCCAAGTAAAAGGAACCGGTGTCTCATTACCTGAGAACGGCGCATGCTCGTTCACTCACTTGCTGGAAAGCTAGTCCAGGCTAGCACTGCCTCTGCTGTAATTGGACACAGAGTGTGGCCTCTGTTTTTCCTTCTCTTTAATTTCCGCCTTCTGTCTGCTCCAGTCAGGAGCTCTGCTTTGTTCTCAGCCAAGTCTTTCCCGTTCACCTGGGAAGCATATCCCCTTCCCCTCAAATAAAACCGACCCCAAATTCATGTGGCCATTTGAGCTTATAAGCCAGAGCCACGTGGAATGGGCATCCTCCTGGCACTCTCGGCTCCAATCCCTTCAAGACTCTCACTGGAGCCAGGCATGGTAGCTTGTGCCTGTAAGGGAGGCTGAAGCAGGGGGATTACAAGTTTGAGGCCAGTCTGGGCTTAAACCAGTGTTTAAGGCTGAGCAATGCAAGTTTCCCACACAAATTTTTTTAAAAGACTCCCATTGGTTTTACTTAGTTCTTCTGTTTATTCTCCATGGTCAGAAAATACCAAGGGTGGCCAGAGAGCATCACGTGTTGGCCCTTCCCACTGGCATTTACTGCCCCATCAGAATTGGAGGGAGAGGAACAAGGCACATTGAAGGACAAAAGGGCACCCTGAGGACCCTGTACCCTGAAGAAGTCCTAACACAAAGCAAACTCGGCCTGTGACACATTTGAGATCTTGAAGACACAACCCCCAGGCTAGTACAGCACTGTTCTCGTTTTCACTCAGTCTCTCACCAGCTTTGGTCATGGCAGGAACCGACAGAGCAGAGCCAGCTGAACCGATGGCTCTCCCTCCAGTGTTTCCAGCCATGCCTCTCTTCAATTCTAAATCTTCCTGCCTGACTTCTCTGTAACCCTGAGGTAAAACAGAGATGTGGAATCAGAGTTGATATAAAAAACAAACAAACTACAAATCGCTAGAAAAGCGAAGGGGATCTCTTGATGTGGAATCTTCGTTGGATTTAATCTTTAGTTGAGTAATCATATCCGGCCTCCTTGGGAGTACAGAGTGAAGTGAAGTATAGGTGAAGGATTTATCCACTGAGCTGGAAATATTCAGCATGCAAGGCACATCCTGCTCTTTCAGAAGTAGCAACCTTCTAAAAAGCTCGCTCCACTAATTCATTTGAGGGTCTCTTCCAAAAGTACAGGCTACAAATGCAGAGTCTGAATCTGTTTATGCAGAAAAGTAATCTTCATTGTCATTTCAGTCATCATTTTAGAAAGCAGCTAGCTTGTCACCTGGATGTTGGCTTTAAATCAGTATTAACAGAGTGAAAAGCAACAAGCCAAGTAGCTATTATGCTCTCAAATATTCAAGCCAAGGGATTTGCATTTAGAATTAAATTGTGAGGCTCTGTACCTCCTGGAGATCCAGAGAGAGGTCATAGTTCAGCAAGGAGAGACTGTGGTTTTCATTCATCATGTGCCAAGAAGTGAGTAGGCTGCAGGGGAGAAAGACAGCAGAAGGCTGGCAGTTGATCCCCAAGCCCAGAGCGTGTGTGCCTGCCTTTGTTCTCTTCCATTCCATTGCTCCGGTCTTCTGCATGTCCCATGAAAATCATTTTTAATGTGAACATTATGTCAGCTGTAATCTTAGCTCTCAGATGGCAAAGGCAAGACCACCACAATTCTGAGGCCAGCCCGGTTTACACAGGGAAGCTCTCTGTCAATTAATAAATCAGAATAAGAATTTTTAAATGTTACGTCAACACTGACTTGTAAAAGTTCTTGGCATGTATCAGATGTGCTCAGAAAAGTTATACCGACTGAATAGGACTGGCTGACCTGCAGGGAAGGCCTGGGCTTGAATCAGTTCTGCCCTGACTGGGCAGAAAAGGTTCCTGTGGGGTGATTTGTGCATGAATGCTCTGAGGCTCTGCAGAGGAGCCCAGGGCCATTCCAGAGCTTTAAGTTTAGGTCTTTGATTTCCCAGGGTTTAGAATGAATCCAAATGAAGTCTCTCACCCCGCTCCTGGGAGTGAGGGAGAGGCATATCCTGATTGACAGGGGAGAGAGAGCCATGAACTCACTGCTCATCCCCCTGACTTGGTAGCCAACTCGTTATCACCAAGCAGCCCCTGCCTAGGCTGTGCTCATCAAGGCCAAAGTGCTCACTCACTGGCAACGGCAGGCTCAGATGCCAGATTTGGCTGGGGGTCCACTAAGAGTAAGGCCCTGTGGGTGGGTTTGTGAGAACAGGGCTGTCGGCAGAAGTTGGCTTCTCTGCCTCAGGCCCTGGGAACTGCTGTTTGTGACTCAGAGCCTTCTTATTCTAGAACAGTCATGAGCAGAAACCTGCTAAAGTTCTGCTCACCCATGCTGGCCCCAGGCCCCTGAGCTCTTAGCAGAAGCCACTCTTCTGCCCCAAGGTTTCATTTTCTCATAGCATTGAAGTGGGGATCTTATTAGAAGACTTAACAAGATGTTAGATGTGGTTAGATAGAAGTTTAGCAGTAGAGGTTGCTTAATGAATGGCAGTTATTATAATTACGGCCTAAGTCACGTAATCAGCTGTCACATAATGGCAATTTTATCAGTGATGAGCCACCTGTGAATATGGCCAGTGTGACTTCATAAGATTTTATTGCCTCTTTCAAACCATGGTTCACCTTTTGCTTTTGAGATAGGATCTCACTGTGTAGCTCAGGCTAGTCTCAAACCTCTCAGCCTACCACCTAAGCATTCTAAATGCTGGGATTACAGACAACGCCACCACGTCCAGCTCTCCCAGCTGCCGTAATTTATGTAAGCCCATAGTTATGATGTCCGACAGTGACAACATGGTCTGATGACGTGGTGTCAGAATATGTCCTCATCGTTAAGTGACCTGTACAAAGTAAGTTTAATACTTCGTAGATATTTGTACCAGACTCAAATCCTGTTTGTTAGGTTCTCGTTGGCCTGTTAACTACTGTTCATCCCAGAACATTGTCTTGAAAGTATAGCACGCCAGCTAAAGCCAGCTGGCGCCATCATCTCCCGATGACTCCATCACCTTGGGAAACTTAAATGCACTTAGTCACAGGAAGTGCTAACAAATGATGCATGATGCATCAGCATCATGAGTTGTGACATTCAAATGTTCCGGGGTGCTTTTCCTGGAGGAGATAGGGGGACCCTATGGGACCTACCAATTCTATAGCATGATTTCTCTCTTATGAGCTTGGCTGCTACATTTTTCTTTGGTCGGTAAAACCACATTTGAGGAAGATACAGCCACTTCCTGTTTCTCTACTAAAGCACATATTTGAGAAAACAGAAGCCCAGGTACACCCGAGGTTTCAGAAACTAAATGTACAGTGGGCTGCCATGGAGTGGGCGACCCAAAGAAAATGAAGTCCTCATGATTTTTAATTTTATCATAAACATGGATAATTTTCCTATGTTCCACATGCAGTGATTGAACCCAGGATCTCCAGCATGCCAGCCACGTGTTCTGCCTCTCAGTCATATTCTGCAAAATTAAAATGAGGAAATGGATGCGGCTTATTCCACCCTCTAGTCAGAAATCATCCAACTTCATACGAATAAGTAGCTTACAACTTGGTCTTTGATTGCATCTGAGATGTCTTTGTTATAAATTATTGTTGAATAATTTCGTTATTATTATTGTTGTTGAATGTTATTATTATTGTTGAATGTTCTCCTGAGAAAGAGCATTGCTGTTGACTGAGAGGTGGCGTGTTTGACATGGAGTGTGGTCACTGGTGGAGGATGGCATGTCCTCCATCGGATCAGTCCACTTGAATGTCCTCATGCTCCGCCTTCCCATGCATATTCAGAGCTGTTAGTTGAGCTCACAGTTGAGACAGACTCCACTTCAGGCAACACAAATGCAGCCATTCATTGCTGAACCCCCTCATCTTACCGCATTTTCATTTTTAGCGGTAATGAAATGAAGCTAGTCTCACCCATTTGGCAGATCGAGCAGAGCCTTAGCAAGTGGACCCTCCTGGTCTTACCACCATGGGAAGATCAGGTGCCACTTTGTTCTACCCCTTCCTGTTTGAGCTCTTGTTCTTGACAAATCTGAGGGATGACGTAGGGTTTATCTAGTGTTTTATTTAGAGCTCATCACAGAAGGGCTCTTCATTTAAACTAGTACTTATGTGCTCACCCCAGGCAGTTATGGAATATTCTTCAGGAGTATAACAGGCAGAGTTGTTTTAGCAAAAAACTTTTCCCGGTAGAAGCCAAGGGAAACCTGTGGTAAGGAGGATGGTCGACAGAAACTGCCAGGGGAATAGCTGGGTTTCTGTTTTCAGGATAGGAAGGCCATTATGTTTTAATATAGTCATGGTCAGATAGATTCCTAGCCAGTGACCATGCAAGTAGGAGCCTGAGGCTACAGCTTCCCTCTGAGAAGAGCCTGACTTGACTCCTTTTGTGAGCATCATGGGGTAGCTTGATCTTAGGAAGCCTGCTGCCCTCATTCTAGGAGGCGGTGGCAGTGGCCTAGCCAGAGGTCATAGCTGAGCTACCAGGGTAGCCTGTGGAGGAAGTGTAGACTGTGAATGTGTCATGGTGCCAAGGATTTCTGGCTTCAGACTGGCACAAGATGTAAGCCTAAAGCCCTGGGCTTTGCAGAGTGAGTGATGCTGGAGTTGTTTGGGCTGTCAGTGCTGTTGGGTCAGGTGGGATGGGAGGAGGCCTGGACTGGCCTTGTTGGGTCTAATGGTCCAGAAGGCACTCCGAGAGGAGCCATGCTCTCTGATTGGCAGCCCACGTTCTCCTAGTCAGACCCACCTTCCTTGCTCACTCTGCTTCCCATCTGCCCGTGAATCATTACTGATGCAATTAGATGCTTCTTACAAGTCAAATCTTATCTCCGTGTTACATCCACAGAAGTGCAGGAAACTCCTGGCCACACAACTATTAATTATTAATCCAAACTTGGTAAGAGGTAACCAGGAAGTTCTGAGAAAGGTGGGGCCAACCCTCTTGGTGGCCTGCCTATCAGAAGCTGTGGAACTTAATCTGAAAATCAGTGAGATTCCCATCAGGCCCTAGCACCAACAATGTCCCACATCAATGGCTGGAGTAAAATGGATTTCTTTCTTTTCAAAACATTACATTTTTTGGGCACTGGGACTATAGATCTTCATGTCCATGTCCATAGGTTCAGAATCAGCCATTTCCTCTGCTACCAGGACCTGGGGCTGAAGCAAGATCTTTTCCAAGACAAGCCTGCTTTCTGGGATTTATATTTCATCCCTCATCCCCCCCGACTTCTCACTAGAGTCCACATTATCTTAAAAATTGAACACACTACAGAGTAATCACTCAGACTAATTCTCACATAGCAGTCTGAAGAATATGAAGACACACACACACACACACACACACACACACACACACACACACACGCGCACACACACACACACACACAAAACCCTTTAATGGAGCTTGAGACCTAATATATACAAAGGGCTATTTCTGGAAGGAATAATAACTAGGAGGCACAATAAAGCACTGAAATAAAATCCTCCTTTGAATTATGTATAAGAAAGTGAATTAATAAAATCCAAGAGCATTTTAAAAACAGAACTTTGCCACTTGCTGGACTGGGGCTTATTTCATCATTGAAAAGAAAGGGAGAAAGAAGAGAAGTAATGAAGTTAGTTGTGTTCAGAGTGGAGCACAAATGTTCTTCACATTTTTGATGCCCTCCTCTAGTCTGTCAGCATCACGCCCAAGCTGCACCTAGGCTACCGTTGTCATTATGAAGATGTATCTCTAGCCAGGGATTCAAGTGCTCTGGAGGCTTAGACAGAAGGATGAAGAATTTGAGGTCATTCTGGGCTGCATAGCAAGACCTTGTCTCAATGAAACCAAGAGGTATTTCTTTCTAATAAACCTTTTGTCTGTGTGCTCAGTGTGGGTGTGAGGGTGCCCTGACAAGCATGTGGAGGTCAGAGGACAACTCTAAGGAGCTGGTTCTCTCTGTCACCGCATGGGTCATCGGGCTTGTATGCAAGTCCCTTCACCTGCAAAGCCATCTCATTACCGCCAAAGAGCTGTCTCCCACTAGAGAGCTTTATAGTCATCCAAGCTAAGCAGATGGAATGTGAAGGTCCAGCTTTTCTATGTTTGCTCATTTATTATGAACTCTCATTTTTCTGTGCTAGGAATGGAGAGGGCTGTTAGTTGTGGTAGTTTTTTTGTGCCTGAAGGTAGTTCAGCAGCTCCTTCTACCTTTTGCCTCTGGGCTTTTCCCATTCTCTTACTTCTGTAAACCTTACTCTTACTCCGTGGCTTGCTGTGTAGCTGGGTGATTAGCCCCCCTGGAGTCCTCCCCCTTTTCTGACTACTTCTTTCTCTTTCCTCCCAGATTTCTATATATATTCTCTCTGCCTGCCAGCCCTGCCTATCCTTTCTCCTGCCTTGCTATTGGCTACTTAGCTTTTTATTAGATCAGTCAGGTATTTTAGACAGGCAAAGTAACACAGGTTCACAGAGTTAAACAAATGCAACATAAACAAAAGCAACACACCTTAAAATAATATTCTGCAACAGCATTCTTTTATGTCACATTTGTTTAACTCTGTGAAGATGTGCTACTTTGCCTGTCTGAAACATTTGATTGGTCTAATATAGACTTGAATGGCCAATAGCAAGGCAGGATAAAGGATAGGCAGGGCTGGCAGGTAGAGAGAATAAATAAGAGGAGAAATGTGGGAGAAGAGATCTAGGAGCAAGAAGAGGAGGACTCCAGGGGCCATCTACCTAGCTACACAGCAAGCCACAGAGTAAGAAGTAAAGATAGGATAAAGATAAAAACTGAGAGGCAAAAGGTAGATGAAATAATTTAAGTTAAGAAAACCTGGCTAGAAATAAGCCAAGCTAAGCCCAGGCATTCATAAGTAAGAATAAGCTTCCACGTATTTATTCGGGAGCTGGGTGGCAGGCCCCCCCAAAGAGTCAAAGAGTAAAAATATCAGCAACTGCAAGAGAGGGAGAGAGAGAGACAGACAGACAGACAGAGAGACAGAGACTGACTGACTAATGGAGTAGGATGAGATGAGTTAGAGCCACAACACAGTGGAGACCCTGGAGTTGTTGTTGTTGTTGTTGTTGTTGTGAAGCTCTAGGCAGGGAACCCTGGTTTCTTTTCTGTCCTTGAATGTGAGTGTGTTCTGCTCCTGAAGGTAGGCCCGGCTTGTGAGCAATGGGAGGGGTTGCTGTTGAGGTTGCCCTCCCTGCCCCTGTCCCCTCTAGTGACTCTCATCATGGTAACC